TCGAGCAAAGCGAGGCGGTGTTCCGAGCGATGGACACGAACAGCGACGGCGAGATCAGCCTCGAGGAGTTTACAAAGGGGCTGAGCGATGCCATGGAGGGTGAAGAGGCGGCAATGAGCGAGTCTCCCGCCCTGGCCGCCTTTAGGGAGCTGGACACTGACGGCAGTGGCTTTATCGACCTGCAGGAGCTCAGGGTCGCCCTCGACGCAGCCGCCCGAGCCCGCCCATCGGAGGAGGTGGTGGAGGCCATCTTCAGGGAGATAGACGCCAACGGTGACGGCGTCATCTCGTTTGAGGAGTTCGCACGGGTGTACGCGAAGCTGGAGCTCTGAGCCTCTGACGCATCGAATGCATGCATACTGTGCTGGTAGCTCTCCGTCGTTCGCGACCTGTTCGCGACTTTCTCGGACCTCGCCGGCTGACGCGCGGGGTCGTCGCAGAGTTGAATACGGTACAGGGTACGGTTGCAGTACAGTCTGATGAGCGTGAGGGTATGTTGGTCCTTGCTAGGAAGGGCAGAGGGACGCGAAGAAAACGGCCGGGGCGCCGCGGCCCGCCCAAGTGATCTAGTCGGGGCCGTGTCCATCAGAGCTCCAGTAAGCTCGAGGAGACACCCCATTAGCGCGGCTCGACCTCTTTGAGTCACTGCCTTCCCAGCGGTTTGGCTGTAGAGCCTCTACAACAAACTCTACAGCAAAATCGCGCTCTACATCGCTCTACATCGGACTCACATCGTCACGCGCCGGATGTAGAGCTCTACAGCTCTACAGCGCTCCAGAGCGCTCTACAGCTCTACAGCTCTACAGCGCTCTACACTCTACATCCTCTACACCCTCCCTCAGGCCCCCTCGCGCCTCCTGGTTTTCGTGGGCACTGCGTTTTCTTTTTTCAGCAGAGCAGCAGAGCAGCAGAGCCCCCTCGCGCCTCCTGGTTTTCGTGGGCACTGCGTTCTCTTTTTTCAGCAGGGCAGCAGAGCAGCAGAGCCCCCCTCGTGCCTCAAGTCTCGCTCGTGGGTCTCCGCACCGCCGGCCCTGTTTTTCTTCTTCGTGGGCTTTGGTTTTGTTGAGCTTTGCGTTTCTTGGTCTACTGATGTGCTGATCCGCAGATCAGCACATCAGCAGAAGCCCCTCGCGCCCCAAGTCTTGTGGGCCGGAACTTTTTTCTA